ATTGTACATTCCTGCCCGTTTTGTTGTTGCCTGTCGTGTGCAGGCTGTAAACAACCGATCATTCCCCAATCAGCAAGCTCCCTACAGGTTGGGAAATGAACCTGATATTATTTTTTTCATCAGATATTGCCCACTGTTTAAGACATCGCCCCCTTTTTTGCGCACTTCTTAGTACCCACAAATCCCCCAACCATGCTTTATTCTGACTGTAAACGTATAACCATGCCTGACGGTATTCCACCCATATGTTGGGAATAAACATTATTATTATTAACTTTCTGTGTGCTTTGATCATCTTGCTCCAGATCATTTGCAATGTAATGGCATTCATTATCAAACAGCCCATGCTCGATCGCTAGTATACATAGTACCAACCCACCCCTATCCTGTCTCATTCAGTCAGTCATTCAGTTTTCATCACTCTGATTTTGGTAAACACTAAGCTTCTTTCTCCAGTGTTGCACATCACAATATCTGATGTCTCCCCAAACTCACCAAATTTTACCAGTCTCATTCCATTCCCTCACCTTACCATGCTTCGGTGTTCCTCAATAACTGATTCGAACGCCTCGTTTGGTTGGTATCCATTCCATCTAAACTTTGAGCAACACCCGAAGGATCTCCAATCGGACCAGTAAATACCTGCGATCTTTCACTGGCTTCGTTTTACCTCTGTGGATTTTCGCAGCCGAGGTGAAAAATCCCGCTTTTCAAAGAATTTCACATCCCACTCCAATGACTGACTATGACGTCCGTTACGGGGCTGTTGACAATCCGGAGTGTGTTAGGCCAATGATGGCACGGCACTGCCGTAATCAGTTTGATAGTCACACCCGCAAATATCCTTTCCTACCCTCGGCCCTACTTCTTGCCCACTCGTTCGATTAACTGAAAACGGGAACAAACTCTTCACCCCCAGGACGCCCTCAATCAAATCCACTGAACCTTTTGTTCACATTTAGCTATTTCCGTGGACTTTCAGTCTGTGCTGTGAGTGCGGTCGCTAGGCTTCGTGGTGCTATACTAGCGTTGGTCCCAGGCTTTTGAAGGGATGCAATCTTGATGGTGTGAATCTCGCGTCAATGTCTCACAAATATTGTTTTACTGTAAATCAGGTTTATCCAAACCGGAGGCTTGTTTGCGCAGAATATTTGCTTCGGGTAAGCGCAGGTGCTTCTGCAGGCACAGGTCGGATTGCTGTCCGCAGTAATTTGAAAACGACATTTTGGTTTCAACATTCCAAGTGTTTGAACATTTTCGCGGAACCGCTTCTGTCCCTTTCCTTGGGATTTAAAGCGCGGTTTTTAATAATATTTCGTTGAGAGCCTCTGGCTGGCCGTTTGGTGCATCGAAAAACAAGGCAGTTTTGCTTTTGTTGGCTAATCTAAGAGTCCTGTTTCCCTGCACTGACTTTTAATTTGCCTCTGATCATCACGACCAGCTAAAGATAAGTCGAGATTCAAGCAAATTTTCCGAATTCAGAGACTTGTCCTCGTACTGACTGAACAAAAAAGAATGTCAAATTTTGACTGGTTGCGGCTAAAAGCCGTCAATTTGGCAAGTTAATAGGCACGACCATGCGTGGCTTCTTTTCTACTACCATATCCTGGCGCACAGGTACCGGGTCGGGTAACTTTTGTTTCGTGGAAATTTCGCAGAATTATTCTCGAGCTCCACTTCTGTAGTCCAGTAGTGGACCGATCTTCTCCCGTGGTCCTGCACAGCTGACCAACCCAGGTTTGAGGGATGTTATGGCAGGAGGGCCTTTTGTTTCGCACCAAATTCAGTGACATGGTGATTAGTAGGCGGGTCAGCTCAGCTCAGGCTGCTGGCACTCACTTCAAGCTCGGGCGTCTGTCAGCATTTTGCAAGCGGCCTCCGGAGTTTTCAGCGCAATGCTGCAATAGTAGGGTACATAGGTGAGAGTTCCTCGGTAAAGAGACGTGGACCATGTTGTTTGAGTCTGTTCAAGGTTGCGGTTTTGGTTGTCCGGTTTTGACTTTCGCTTCCAGTGGCGATTAGCATGACAAGGGTAGTATGGACCGGCTGGGCGCAAAATATGAAGCAGGTGAGCTTAGAGTATGAAGTAGCAGAAAGATAATCAGGACTTGGGATTTCTTTGGCTGTGGAGGTATGAACTTTGCTGCTCTTTGCGCGGCTAGCTCACCAAATAGTCTACCTTAAAAGACGATCTCCTTCAGTACGATCTAGATGTCTTCGGAATGGGCATGACAGGCGCGCCGCCAAAATTCTCCTCGCTGATCCTGATCCCTTCATAGCTGACCCTTGATTGAGCCGTATATGCAAAAAACGTTTTTACCATCAGGCGAATTTTCAAATGACTGTATTCCGAACTGAGGTCCGCCGAGCAACGACCTCAAGTCAGCTTGTGCCCGTTCTTTAGACTCCTCCAAAAACCAAACCTCTCCACGTAGGATCTTTCTAACTATTTTGTCAGCGTTCTACTGCCTCGCGTGTGGAGTGACTGCGTGGCGCCACAGGTGTACTGTCAGGTTTCGTGCTCGCGTATCTGGCATAAAACAGCTAAAGCACTTAGCCTCCCTGGCTTATCGTGGACGAAGAGGGAAATCCCTAGTCTAGCGTTGTTTCTTCAGCACTTTTCATGTTCTTAACAGCTTTTCAATCTCCGTCGTATCCAGGGATTTTAGGTTTGTTCACTCTCATAAATACACAGGATTATGCACACGGGGCCTGTATCATCCGTTATCTTGACAATGAAATTCCCCACGTTTGTTATGTCCCTATTTGTAACCCCCGCCCCACTTTTGTGTTTAGTGTGTATATATGAACTGACGCTTGTTTGTCCTTACCACAGCACTTATTTGGCCTTGAGGTCATCCGACCATTTGTATCTGACTTTGCACATGTGATTGTCGCACGTGGGAGCCTGTTTGCCCCCCTGCGTTTTACTTTTGTAGTCCAGGCGGACTGTTTGTTTTGGACGCGTATCTACTGTCGAGGTTTGTATAATTTGTGAATTACTCTTACCCTAATAGTACCGTATAGAAACCCAGCTCCGACTTTGTTTTGCCTACCCGGAGGTTCTGGTATTACGCGTAACTCGAAGATACCTTTCGACCGTTACAGTACTCGACATCTTACGTCGTCTTGTTTGGGGTAAAGATGTCAACTTATGGAACAATTGTGAAGGAAACAGGATCCAAGGACGCGGAAACGATTGAAGCTGCGGAGGAAACAATTGCAGTGCAGTTTCCTTCGAGCCTCGGTTCTTGTAAGTTACTTTGCGCTTCTAGTCATAAAAGTAGTGTAGCTAAGAAAGCTTTAAGAATTGCTCAGCTCCAGGATTACCGGGTTAAGTGGGAGGTCGAGCTCCAGCGGGCTCTCTTAGAGGCGCATAGCGAAACTGAGTTAGCCAAAATTGAACTAGAGGCCGAAGGGGACTCACTAGATGAAGTCTGGGAGCCAGTGGCCTCAAATGAACAAGTAGCGGGGCAGGTGAAACAACATCAGATAGATGAAAGTTCTCTAAGATATGCTGATGTTATCAGAGGGCCATCCCCAGGGCCAAACCCGGTCATTTCCGTTACTCTAGCATCAGCCACTATTGACCTACCAAAGGTGGAACTATCCTACTTTGATGGTAATCCGTGTCATTACTGGAGCTTCACCGCCAATTTGAGTTAGACATTCAGAGCAAGGTGCAGGACGCCAGTTAGAGGCTCCTTTATCTGATCCACTACTGTCAAGGCGACGGGAAGGCGGCCATTGAAGAATGTGTGATGCTCCCGCCGGAAGTAGCACACCCCAGGGCTCGGGAGATCCTGCGCAATCTCTTTGGTCAGCCTCATATTATCGCTCGCTGTCTACTAGAAAGCCTGTTTCGTT